GGCGACCCCGGAGCCTGCGACTGCGGCTGGGGTTCTCAGCTTCGGCGGTGTCATTGCATCATACATGATCCCGTGGGCTTGTATCGCATCAGACTTGACGACGTACTTCGACCCCACGCCACGTCTCTCGTCGTAAGTCGCCATCATCCTCATTACCTATTTCCATGAATAGCTTTTACTGACCCGAACCAGCCACCGCATCTTCGCCTACAGCTTCCTCGGCCTCGTCGTGCCCACCATCCTCCTCATGACCCTAGGCGCGGCCATCGGCGGCGCCATGGGCAACATCCCCACCTGGCAGACCGGCTTCGACAACACCCTCGTCGGCGGCGTCCTCGGCGCCATGCTCGCGCCGGCCGGGGGTTTCGGCAAGTTCATCCTCGTGGTGCTCGCCTTCACCCTGCTCGCCAACATCTCCGGCACCATGTACGCCATCACCCTCAACTTCCAGACCCTCATCCCGGCCTTTCGCATCCCGCGCTACATCTTCTCCATCATCGTCACCGCCATCATCATCCCCATCGCCATCAAGGCCGCCGGCGACTTCTTCCTAAGCCTGGAGAACTTTATCGCGCTCATCGGGTACTGGTCCGCCTCGTTCGTGGGCATTGTTATTGCGGAGCACTTTGTGTTCAGGAAGGCTAACGCGAAGGCGTATGATGCGGATATTTGGGACGTGCCGGCGAGGATGCCCTGGGGCGCGGCGGCGATTTCGTCTGCGGTTTTGAGTTTTGGGTTGGTTGTGCCGTGTATCTCGCAGGTCTGGTTTACGGGACCTATTGCGGCGACTACGGGCGATATTGGGTTCGAAGTTGCCTTTTTCCTGAGCGCGCTGCTGTACGTGCCGTTGCGGTATGCTGAGAGGCGGTTTACCGGACGATGAAGACTGGTTATGCAACTGGCAAATGGACGCTAAAACACTAAAACGATTTGAATTACAGTACAGGATTGGATCAGGAGTATATCCTGCCGACAAAAGGCAAGGTCAAAAGTAGGGTTTAAATTGTGGATGGATGGGGGAATTGGGAAACAGTGTGACTGAATATTGTTGATACCCAGTAGCAGGCATGGTTAGAAAGAATATTAATGCTTGAACATCATTTTCTTGAGAAAGAATCGAAACTAGAGCGCCGTGAATCTGGACCTCATCCTGAGGCTTCCTTGAGGAGGAGCTCAACGATTACGTTGTAGGAATGGTAAACTCAGAAGTAGGGGTGAAACCAGCCTCATAACCAGAGTGTCATCAAATAAGTCCCGTTATCCGAGGCCAAAAGATGAATGTCTTCATGAACTTTTGCTTGTATCCGGCAGGGTGCCGGAGGTTTATTAAACCGCGACCACATAATGTCACTTTGGGAATATTGGAAACCGCATGTTGGTGTAACAACGGACGAGCGGAGATGTAAAGTCTGGTCAAATTGATTAGTTGGCTCAGCCATGTGCCACAGCCAAGCTCTTTGTTCTTCTAGCGTGGTATTGAAGGGATTCGGGGGTCCGAGTTCCATATTTACCCGGCTTAGAACAAAGCGCGAGCTCTTCGTATCCAGGGGAACATGCGCACATACTGCCTAAATCAACGCCATGTTCATTTTGTGAAGAATTCTTTTGTGAATTTTTGTATGACCAGGGATACATAAGAGGTCCCCCTTACTCCAACCACCCCCTATATGTCTAACTACCCTCATCAACTACTGCTCCATCGAGCTACAGTGCTGCCTTAAGTTCTGCTAACAGGCTATCTTACTTTAGATAGTTTAACTAGTTTACTTCGCAATACTAGTCGTTAGTTATCTCGTTATTTTCGAATGCTTTAGCGATGTCTTCAAACTTGTTAAATATTTTGAGAAGAGATGGATCATTACGGCTGTATTGGCGGAGGATAACATATACCAGTAAGCAACAGAAGAACAATACTTCTTCGAATTTATTGCAGTTCTGAGGGAAAGGGCGTTTACTTCAAAACTTACAGATATTATGCTCTTTTTCTCTAATAAGCTAGGTGAGGCTATCACCGCTCTTAAGGTAGCAGCCACAGAGGTAGTGAATATAGTATTGCTTCAGCATTTTAGTGTAATAGGTTGTAGTAGCGTGAAGAGGGAGATGCTTACCCCCTAGTGATTTGCGCTCTCTTTATATACCCCTATAGGTGGCCATAGAGGTTTCTCTGTGAGCTATCCTGGCCCTCGAATATTTCCCTGTGAGAGTCATACGGCAGTCAACAAGGTGCGCCTCCAGGCGGCAAACTGCGAAGAAAAAAGTTAGAAGGGAAGAAAGAAAGATCAACGCCATGTAAGGAAATCGATTAGCGGGGTTGGGCTGGAGTTCGGTTTGCCCGTCAACGTATATAACTTCGGTGACGACTTCGATCAAATGCTTTCACACAGCGTTCCAGGCCAGCCCTGACCGCATGTCCCTTTTGACACTCACGCACTTCTGAAAGACGACAAACTAAAATGCTCCCCTTCAAGTTGTTGTCCGTGATTGCCCTGGTGGCAAGCGCAGCTGCACAGAAAATCAAAATTAGTGAGCAACGTCGCAAGTCGAAATCCATCACAGTGCTGCTCTAACGTTTTCAAAGTGCCGTTGGGCGATTCGATCACTGAGATCACCTGCTGGCGGGCATATGTTTGGGACATGCTCGTCAAGGAGAACCTCGCCGACAAAGTGCAGTTCGTGGGCTCCATGACGAACAACCCGCAAAACTGCCGGGCTCAAACGGGTTCCTTTGACCTTCACCACGAGGGCCACTCGGGCTGGCTGTCAATCAACATCGCGAACCAGTACCTTCAGGGGTGGCTGGCCAGTAGCAAGCCTGACATTGTGCAGTACATGCTCGGGACGAATGATGTTGCCCAGGGCCGGAACACGAACGACATCATCGCGTCGTACACGAAGATGGTCGGCCTCATGAGGGCGTCGAACCCACGCATGAAGATTCTTGTGAGTTTCAGATCCTCTAGAGACTGGCCATAGCTCGCCGACTGACAGATTGCTAGGTCGACCTACTGATTCCGCTGTCTTTCAACGGTGGTGGCATTACCACGCTGAACCAACAAATCCCTGGCTGGGCGGCGCAGCAGAACTCGACGGACTCGCCAATCATGCTTGCTGACTGCTCGACAAAGGCTGGATACACCGACTCGATGAACAGAGACGGTGTTCACCCAAATGACCAGGGCGATCAATTCATTGCGAGACAAGTTGGAACCTTGCTGGTCAAGTATGTCAAAGACTTGTTGGCGGAAAGAAGCGCTTCGGCCGACTATTATCAGGTACACAGCCAGGAGAAACGGGTTTAGGATCACGAGCAGGGATTGGAGGTTGAAAATGCTGGAAATAAATATCACCTGTGGATTCGCAACCCCGAATGGCTCAAACGGTGATACCCTCAAGTTGGTTCAGGAGACGGTCTAACTCGGACTGGTCACTCACTTACTTCTCATCGACATTGAAGAGCCAATTTTTGTTTCATGAATCTTCTGGAGTGCATTGTTCAAGCTGCATAGCTCCTTCCGTTTGTGCGCTTGAATCCGACCCTTGCTCAAACCCCACAGTGAATTTCCGGCAAAGACTGACGGAAGACGTAAGGATAATTTCGTTGGGTCGCACACCGGAAAAATTCGCCAAATTGCGAAACCCGGCAAAATGACCCATCGAAGCAGGCGGTGAGACTCAGGGCCATCCCTTTTCATTTTCACCACCACAATTCTGCAGAGGGTTATCCTTGCGAGTCTTCACTCTCCCAAAACCCCGAACATTATGAACTCACAACAGCCGCCCGTCGTCCATGTTCCCCCGGCGCCCATTCAGCCGGCCAGCGATGAGGGGCCACCAGTGAAGAAGAAGCGAGGCCCAAAACCCAAGCCTAAGCCCTATGTTGCTCCCAAACCGGTCCTGCGACATGAGCGTAGATACACCATCGAAAAGAAGCGGGAGGTCTTGATGTTCCTGGAACATCACCGCGTCAAGAATCGTCCCGGTCAGCCGATCCGCCTGCGCGGCGGCGAAGAGCGTCTTGAAGGCGAGTATCGGCGGCCGACGCTGGACGAGGCGTCTGAGTGGTTCAAGATTCCGTACGGCTCAATCCACAACTGGTACAAGAACAAGGATACCATCTTCGACCCGTCTCTCAAGGGTCGGAGGACGCGTCGCAAGCGCGATGCGTCGGGCCAGCTCGTTGACCGAAACCAACCAGATGCACCACCACCGCCTCAGTCTCAATCAGAGGGCGATGAGATGTCGCCTCGAGCCGAGTCATCAACTCAGAGTCAGACTCATCAGAATCACGAGCCGGCAAACGGACGCGACCCGTCGTCGATCCAGCCTGGTCCGTTTACTACCACCCAGCAACCTCCAGCTCAACAACCCGGCGGCCCCTCGACGGAGCCACCAAAGTCGCCAACCATGAGCATCCTGTCGCCTCGAACAGCGCTCCCAGACGCCCGCCCGTCGAATGCAACGGTAGCCGAGCAGCAGGCCCAGAGACCCACCGCCGGCGCGGAGAACCCGTCCAGACGCGAGGAGGACCAACGCGATGAGCTGCGGCCCAGCAGCACGTCTCCGGCGGCCGGGGTCGACTCCGCGAGCAATGAAACCTCAACCGCACCCCGGACCGCAGAGGAGCAGCGCGCAAACACCGTTGAGCCAACGACGACGAAAGCACCAAGTGAGGATGTGCAGGATGCTGCAACACCCCTCACTCGTACGACCCCACCGGCCGTTGGAGCTGCTGCCGGGGCCGTCTCACTGCAGGGTCTCCTCGCAGCTCAACCTCGAGAGCCTGGTAAATGAGGGTTGTGAGCGACAATGGCGCGGGCTCGACCTCATCCAATGGAAACCAGGTCGGGGTTGGTCTCTCGTCGACATACATAATCAGACCGCTGACGCTGACCTTTTGCTCTTCCGTTTGCTCATCGCCAGCGCTCGTCTCTCACTCATCTCTCTGATTCATATTGATACCCCCAATTCCGTTCATCTTTGGCTTATACAACATCATCACCATGGCCGGCGTCGCACCAGGAAAGACCTTCACCCCCGGGCTGGACTTCAGCAAGCAGTCCTACAGCAACCTCGCCCAAAAGGTCGAGGCCGACGTCGCCCGCGCGCACGAGGTCATCACCGAGAAGCTGCCCCTCCTCTCCCAGCTCAACGCCCTCGTCTCCCTCACCTTCGGCGACCGCGCCCCCGTCTTCCTCGATGCCCGCGGCCCCGAGGCCAAGCTCCTCACCTCCTGCGCCGACGAGCCCGACACCAAGATCACCATCAAGCCCGAGTACATCGCCCAGTTCTACGAGGGCAAGCTCGAGCCCCGCTACGGCCTCTTCAAGGACGCCTTCTTCCACGAGGCCGCCATGCCCAAGGGCAACGTCCCCGTCGCCATCAAGTTCGCCGACCTGCTCACCCCCAACCCGCCCGTCCCGCCCAAGAAGGTCGTCCCCGGCGCCTTCGCCCGCCTGCCCGAGCCTACCGAGGACATCGAGCAGGTCAAGCGCGACGTCAAGGAGTTCGGCTACGGCCTCGTCAAGAACGCGCTCACGCCTGAGCAGGTCGCCATCCTGAAGAAGGCCACGCAGGAGCAGGCAGCCGGCGAGCGCAAGGCGGGCGTCTCCGCGGCGGACGGCGGCCCGAACGCGCCCAACCAGCGCATCTGGACCCTCGTCAACAAGGGCGAGGAGTTCCTCGACCTGCTCAACCACCCCCTGATTGACGAGATCGTCCCCTGGTTCCTGGGCGAGCACGCGCTCATCCACAGCTACAGCGCCAACATTGCGCGTCCGGGGAACGTGCCGATGCAGCTGCACACCGACCAGGTCGCCATCCAGCCGCCCGTCCGCGACATGGCCTTCGGCCTGAACATTATGTGGTACTTTGAGGATATCACGGAGAAGAACGGCGGCACTCGCGTCTTCCCTGCCTCTCACCTCGGCCAGATTGCGCCTGACGACCTCTTCACCGTCGACGGCACCATCGCCGCAGAAGGCCCTGCGGGAACTGCGCTCGTCTTCGACAGCCGTCTGTGGCACGCCACCGGCCCCAACCGCGAGGAGGCCGGCGAGCGCCCCGTCATTCTCATGTTCTTCATGCGCTCCTTCATCCGCCAGCAGGAGAACAACTTCCTGTCCCTGCGCAAGGATGTCGAGGCCAAGCTGTCCGACAGGATCAAGCGCATGCTCGGCTTCTACACGACGGGTGCCCTCGGTGGATTGGAGGGCGAGGTTCGCGAAGGCATCTTTGTCACGCGCAAGGATGATTGTGTTGGCACGGTGCGTGCGCCTCATGAGGCATGATTGCGCGGGGGATGGGTAATTGCATGTGTACATTAGAGCTTGGCAGTAAAGAAGCGGAGTTGATGCAGTTGTGAATGATTCATCGCCGTTAGAGCACCGTTGAACTTGAGCTGATGTTTCCCAAATTGATGCCTCTTCTTCAACCTGTCAGTCCAGCATCTCCCGCAACGTCTAGACGTAATGAAGAGCCCGGCATACGAAATCCTTCCCTCCTTTCCTCCCCGAGTTATCCCATCTGTCTCCCGGCAGCCGCCCGCTCAACCACCCCTCGCTGAAGAAATGGAGCCCTCCAACCAGGTCCCCGGTCACTCCAGCCCTCGGGGAAGACGTCCGCGCGCGATCCCTGGCGGGAGAATTGTGGATAGCCCGTGCCAAAGGGTTCCAACAGGATTCGGAGTCGGCTTCGACCTCCGCACCCCGCCTGCGTCTGAACCAACGACATCTCGTCAAAAAGTCATCTCATCTGCAGGGCAATCTTGTCGCCCAATAGCCGAGTTTCATATTATTACTCGTCACACTGGACACGCGGAAAAGGCACCCGGGTTGATCGGCCAGGCGTTTACTGTTCCGGGACGTGAGAGGGTTGTTGGCCCTTCCTGCATCGGTATTCTTTCTGAAAAGGGTCGGAGCGCAATGAAGATGGCAGATCGGCGCTGTACGGGCGGGCCCGCTCCATCGCAACCGAGGAGGCACAGATACGGGACGCGCATGCTGGTTGTACACGATGCTACGCTCTTGACTTAGACGTAAGTCCAAACGGAGAGCATTTTTTAGCACAACCCACAACACAATCCACAACAAGAGCAACATGGGCAAACTGCACTTGCTGGTACAGGAAACTTGGACAAGGAATTGGTAATATGTGCGACTCGAAAGACGAAGTAGGATAACTTCATCGAGCACAGCAGAGACAGCGAAAGGACTTTGTGACTAGTGAGGTTACACAAGACGATGTTTACCAAACGGGCGGTTCAACTACCGCTGAGGAATTTCTTCATCTCATGTTGTGCCACATGACTGCTTGCGGTTCCTCGATGTGTTGTTCCTGTGGTGCAGAACCGTTTTCTCTTCCAGTGCAAGGGCCCATCATGGATGCAAATGAGACGCTCCTGTTGGAACAGGGGTAGATGTTTGCTCGGTTGGAACCTCTCCACTCCATGTCCTCGCTTCCACGTCGATTTTGCACGGCCTCGATGGCAACCCAGGACCAATCGCACCCTTGGGACGTGGGGGCAAGTGCAGGGAAGTTGAAGTTGACTTCCAACAGAGCCGCAACCGAGACTTGCCTAGACAGATTTGCCTGAACAGACTTCTCACCCGGGAGGCCTTCCGCCTCGGAGGCTTCGCTCATCCATCAGGATCGGGCATGGGTAAAGCATATGCTAGGGTGTTCCAACGGTGCATGACCTTGCTGAACTGTCCCGGGGAGAACAATCCTGGAGGCATGATATCCCTTCAGTCTGACCCATTCGCCGCCAACGACCTCTTGTATCCCCACCGCGAGTACCACGGGACGAAAGTGGCTCGCAGATCGTGGGATCTCAACTCCAAGGAACTGTTCCAACAGCACTCTGTTCTCCTTGTTGTCGCCCCCGTCCGTGTTCCGAAGAGGCAAGATCATGGATGGACTCCCAATTTCCCAGGACCTCGGGATTTGAACGACTGTTGGAAGCCATGATAGCCTCACATAGTAACCATCAAAGCGGGACTCTTCTCCTTGAGACTTCTGTTGGAACATGGATCAAGATCTTTCAACACTAACTCTTGGCATCTCTGAAAAACGTCGGTGAAGACGACTGTGGATCTCTACCTGTTGTGGCTGGTAATGTTGCGCGTTCCCTGGACTGCAAGGATTCGGTGCCATGAAGCATGAAATAGCGAAATGACTCCTGGGATATTCAGAATGGCGGCCCTCGGGTTGTACTTGGTGGCGGGTTCAAACGGGAAGCCGTTGGCGATGGGACTCTGAGATGACTGTTTGTCGATCGCATCTACCCACCTCAAACGCGAAGCTCGCGATGATGCTACTTCACGGTTTGCCCCTTTTTCGTTTTTGAGTACATTTCTAGTCATTCTTCGTGGATGATGTTGAGCGCCGTCCATGATAGCTGGTGTCTCCTTTTTTTCTGTTCATTCTTTCCTGAAGCCCAGGTATCAGGTCCTCGATCAAAATGGCTGCAAAACCGTTCGACGAGATGGAGGTGAACTGGATCACCCAGCCGGACCCAATTGGTGTGGCCACGCTGGGTGTGACCATTTGCCTCGGCGCCATCTCCCTGATCGTTGTCATCCTTCGTGTCTGGGCTCGTCAGAACACGGGCGCTCTTGGACTTGACGACTATCTCATGATAGTCGGGTTGGTAAGTTGAACTGTCTTGACACCACAAACTGCAGAAACAATCTGACATCTGAAGGGGATTTTCCTGGCATGCTGCACCTTTACTTCCATCGCTGTTTATGCGGGCATGGGGACGAAAGATGCGCGTCTAGAGGAATGGAACTCTGTGGCAGGCATCAAGGTGAACATCCCTCAATCCATCACTCTCTGCAAACCGAAGTTAACCGTCTCGCAGTGGCTAGTCTTCTTCCAAATCATCTACGCCTGGAGTTTGCCGTTCATCAAAGCCAGCATCTGCTTCACCGTCTTCCGGATCACAAACAGAAAGCGGTACCGCGTCATCCTCTGGACTGCCATGATCGCGTCAATTCTCAGCACCACGATTGGCTTCATCGCAGTTGTAGCAGTCTGCAGGCCCGTCAGCTACACTTGGGATAAGTCTCTCGATGGGTCATGCGCACCGACCAACATTATCACCAGCATCAGCTACCTGATCTCGGTTATGGCCATCATCACTGACTGGACCTGCGCCATTGTGCCGACTGTGGTTGTATGTGGACTACAGATGAAGTCGAGAGTGAAGGCTTCTGTGTGTGCGGTGCTCGCGTTGGGAGCCATGTATGTTTTGGAAGCTCATTGACATTCTACTGCTTGCTGATAACAGTACAGTGCGAGCGCTGCCACCATCATCCGTCTGCCATACCTGCAGTACTACAATGTGGTCGAAGATTACTTGCGTGAGTACCTAACCAAAACTTTTTGACAGAAGGTCTTAGACAACTGAAGACTAATCAACTTTTTTCTCACAGATAACATTGCCAACATCGTCCTCTGGTCAATCTTCGAATGCGGCATCGGCATTATCGCAGGCTCATTGCCATCCCTCCGACGACTCCTCAAGTTCTGGCTCGACAAGTCTTCGAAGGGCTCGTACAATAACACTGGGTCAAACCCATTGCATGGAGACTCCGGATACCAAGGCAGCAATGGCGTCAAGTTGAACAACCTCAGCGGAAGAGCCATGACGGTGTCCAACTGCCAGACTGGCAACCGAGATAACTGGGTACAGCTTGACGATGATGACAACAGCCAGAAGCACATAATCATGAAGACGCAGGAGGTTTCGGTTCGGATCGAGATGGATAACCACAAAAGACATCGATGAGATCTTGGACGTAGAAAGCAATGCAAGGATGGAATCGCCTAGACTTAGGATTCGAGTCGCAGATACGTCTCCCATTGCACGACATTGGAAGGCGCGGATCAGTATCATCTTAGTAAAACTTATCTTGTCTATCCCGCTCCATCGTCTACGTACTTTGTCTCTTCAGCGAAGTTTGTACAAATGAAAAAGGAGAAGTCTGTCGTAACAAAAATCCATATTCCCAGTCTTTGCGCCCACAACATTATCGTTAGCACCATTCGTCCCTGACAACTTCCAATCATGGAAGACGTCAACGGCTTTGCGTCTGTGTTTATTTACATGTTCACACTCGCCAAGTAGGCCTTCGCAATCTCGTGGCCGGACTTGGAGCTGGCGCAAGTTTGAGCCTGACGAGCTTGGAGCTGGCTCACAGGAGTATCCAGGACAGGCGTGTCCTTTCCAGGTGTTGCTTTTGCGGGCGTCTCCTTGACTGGCGCGTCCTTGACTGGGATGTCGTTGGTGGGAGTATCCTTACTAGGAGTGTCTTTGACAGGTGTGTCAGTAACTGGAGCCTTTTGGGCGGGAACGTCATGAGCAGGTGTCTCCTGCACCGGTGTGTCCTCAACTGGTGTTCCGTCAAGAGGTGTAGTAGAGGTAGTAGGGACAGGCGCGCCATTAACTAGCGTTGTGCTATCGACCGTCGTGCCATCAGTGGAGGTGCCGTCAGCAGAAGTTCCGTCAGTAAGTGTGCCATCGGTAGAGGTGCCGTCGGTGGTGGTTCCATCAACAGGCGTGCTGTCAACCGGAGTGTCCATCGTGGTTTCCGTACCGGTGGTAGAGGGAAATGGAGTCATTGGGAAGGGTGACATTGGGAATCCAGCGGCTGCGAAAGGGTTGATAGCGATAGGCATTCCTGATCCTCCAACTCCTCCTAGGCGTCCATTGGTTCCATCGGTAGAAACTTGGTCATCAGGACCCTGTCGCATGGCACCGGGCTGCTGTCCAGGAGTGCCATCGACATCGGGCTTGTTGCTGGGAGCTGCCTGAGACGGAGTCTTGTCGACAGGTGCTTTGTTAACAGGGGTCATGTCCCCAGGAACGTTGTCGGGAGTCTTGTCGACAACAGGAGTCTTCATCGCCGGGGTGTTGTCCATAGGACTCTTGTCGGCAGAAAGGCCCTGGTTAATAGGAGGAGCCGGTGTAGGATCGAGGTCAGGTATCTTTCTTCCCGGACCTGACTTGACCGGAGACTGAGGAGCTGAGCCGAAGGGGGATGTCTTTGGGCCCTTCTTGAACGGATTGGACCTGAAGACCTACCAAAAGATGTCAGCATACTGCCCAATTACTGAGTACGGGGAGGGCCCCCTACGTTGGAAATAGACTTTGCCCCCTTGATGCCCTTAAGAGCTCCAAAGCCGGATTTGAGAGATCCGAGACCAAAACCGAAACGACGCTTGAATATGTAAACACTCTTCTGAAGCTGATCCTCGCAGCCGCCGTCATTCTCGAGGAGGCCTGCAAGCTGAAACTGCACACCTCCAGCAACGGCGGCACTGTAGACCTTCTCGTTGAACTCCTTATTGAGCTCCTCCTCACCAGACCTGCCGTTCTCGTAGGCCTTCCAAGACACGATCTGCTCGAACTTGATACCGCCCAGAGCGGCGTATTCACGCTCGTCGTCCAAGGGGTTATGCTTGCCCAAGGTGCCGATGCTGTCAATCATGTTGGAGGTGACGTGGATCTTGTAAATGTAACCTGCAGGCCTCATGGTGATGAAGCGTTCGGCGATATCGAGAGAGGATGAGGTAAAGACGTAACCATAATTATCACGAGAGCTACCGTCTGAAGCGGCTTTTGCGTGGTTGAGGAGACTGATGTCCGGAGCAAGGGCACCAAAGGCGCTCTGGCCTTTGGGGAGAAAGCCACCCGCCTCCTGGATCTCGGCCGGTGATCTGGAATCCCCGCGATACACATAGACGAGTGATGTAGGAGCTCCGGCACAGATAAGAGACCAAAGATTAGTCACGAGAAAAAGGAGATAAATGAGTGGTAGGTTTCCAGACATGCTGAATGACTTTAAAAGAATTTGAGGTTATAAAGAGTGGACGGTATCTTGAGGCCACCGTAAAAACAGTGAGAAGAGTTGGGATGATTTCGTTGATACAATGTGGCTGACTTAGAGCAGAACGGTTACCGCCTTTATAGATGTAGATGAAAGCTAGGAAACGACAGCATCTCCGACCATCCGAGATCGCAATACTGTCAATGCTGTCGTCGTTTATTGAGATCTGACATACGTGCACTGTTGAAGGCAGGTCAGTGAGTAGCTCGGAGTTCGCGAACCACGGTTCATGGCCGCTGTGGAGGTCCATGTGAACATTAAATTTCGCGATGTCTTGGCCTTGAACATCTAATGATGTCAAAAACATCAGTATGCCCGAGTTGGGCTTTGCGGGACATCTTTCGCGTGAACCCGGAATCTTCGAATCATTCTCAAGGAGGTTAGATTTTATGTTTACTAAAACTTCTTGGCCACTTACTCTATCGCCTACAAGCTAAGCCCATGCCAACCCAACATTCGGCTGGGAATTCCGGTTCTCTGCAGCCAGACTTGCCTTTCTGAGCGTCAACATCTTCAGATTTGAGCATATGGTACGAGAATCGAGGAACAATTTCTTGGCATTGCGCCAAACACCGCCTCGGTGCCTTTACATACGGTGGGTGTGACAACAGCCTCTTCATTTCTTTGTCCCAAGCGCTGGGTGCAATTCTTATGAACACTGGGCAGAATATCCACTGACCTTCTGTGGTGACTCCAGAAATAGCATACTAGATCGACCTGGGGTTGACAGGATGAAATAAGCAGTGTGAACGGTTCCTGCGGGCTCGGTTCATCCGGCAGAGAACCCTTGCGGGGCCAAAAGGTGCCTGGCAGGGTAACTAGGATCTAGCTTGGCGAGCTACCTGTCGTATTGAACTGACATGGCCGTAGGACGAATAATTCCCCGATTGTTAACCTGCATCCAGCCTTTTTGATCCTTCATTTCCTCGCGCTGTAATGTCGTCATTTACAATGGTAAGTCAACTGGATGTCACATCATTCAGATATGCTTCCTCGATAGTCACAGGCTTCCAGTCCGAACGGTTGCAAACCCTGTTGATTATCGCTGTTCCTCGGAGCCAGGTGACGTACCCACATTGGTTCGCTGCGGCGGGAGCTACGTGTAAAGAGGCGACGAACAGTCCCAGGTAGTTATAACGAAAACGATATGGAGAGGCAATGTTGAAGGTAGTGTGGTCACAGACATTACGTGGGAGCAGGGAGAGGAGTCGACCTCTGCGACAGGAGGCGAAGTCGATGGTAATTAAGGTTCGCAGGGATGCCCTTGATTGTCAGCTGAGTCCGCTGTAGCATGTTCAGAGACTTACCCACCATGATCAACACTAGCATGGACCATTTTTTGCGCGAGGTCGTAACTTCGGTGACATCTTCGCTTTTAAGCAATTGTGTTTCTTGGTTAAGACTACGACGCTGCGTGTGGTTAAAGTCGAAAATGCTGCGTAGTGATGAGGAAGTGAGATGCTAGTTGCACCGTTGAGATCAGATCGGAAGAACCTGCGCCAAGCCGGTTCGATCATCAGTAGCAAATCAGCAGAACAATTCGTTTGCAAACTAGCTCTGATTTTTTTGAAGAGCATGTTAACTCCATGGCAAGACTGGGACAGATTAGTCCAGACCTCAGCACCAAGTGAGGTTTATTGTCAGATCTTCGCAAGTTGGAGCAGCGCACGGATCTCGGTTCTCTCGGGATGTTTAAGGTTTGGTCGAGAGCCCAGAAAGCCCAGACAGCCCACTGTGCCAAGCACTGCATATTACAACGACGGCTTGGGCCGAACAGCTTGCACAAGAATTGAGCGAATGTTATGACGCATCTTCGCTTGCAGACTCTGGTAGGTTGAGAGTTGTCTATGTAGATCAGGTCTCTGATTTCCTTTATTCAATGACTTGACGGCTGAAGTTGTGTAGCATTTCTACTACATAGTCTTCACTACGCTTAGAATCCCTCTTAGAAAATATCGACTGTTACCGTACGCCTTCATTCCGTCACAAGATGCGTGAAGGAGCTTACCTAATAATCATAGACCAACAACGTAGTCAGTGCCAATGTCGACCCACGGGCATCTTTGTTGGGGGATTTACAGTGTTGTAAAGTGAGTGACACCATGTGCCACTGTTGGCGTTGATGTTCGTGTTGGTGCTACGCTTGTTGTGTTCACCGCATTTCCTGGCGACTGACAGAAAGACCTATGTACTGCTCACGTGTTAGTCAAAATAATTTAAAACTACCTGAATGTCCCAAAATCACTAAATACATACAAGATTACTCAGGACTCTAATGACACACCTGGCCAGTTGCCAACAGGTCTTTCTCTGCCCACTTCTTCTCTGTCGAAGAAGATGCTGACAGCCCCGTGGGACTTTATTGCGGAAAAGAATATCGAAGATGCCCGATCGGCCTTTGTGCGCACGGTGTTCCATTCGCTTGCGGATATTGTGGCCATTTTTGACAGCAGGCTTGGTTGGAATGGCCACGGAGAGTAGGATGTATGTTTTGCGGGTTCTTTCAACATCAGCATTTGCGTAAGGCGTGGAGATACGGACGAGCAGGTGCTTATTCGTTTCTGCTCCGTCACCATACATGCTCCCTGGCGATATGAAAAAGTGAAGAACGAGGTTATGACGATGGAGTGCATCCGAGATAAAACTACCATGCCCATTCCACCGATCCATACATGGGGCCTTGCCGTGGAAAGCCCACGACAAGTTGGCCCATTCATCATTATGGATCGCATGATAGGGTGCGACATGAGTGAGTTTTTACAGAAACCGACCGAGAATGGAGTGGAGGAGTTCCTCCTGGATCCAAACATCAAAAACCGAAAGCTGGACATCATTCATGATCAGATTGCAAAATTCCTGCTGGAGATCTCCAATCTTCAATTCTCGGAAATCGGCTCGATTTCTCAAGGCGCTACGGATGGACAATGAGGTGTGACTGGAAGGCCTCTAACATACGACATGAACGATGCAGTCACCGTTGGAAGCTGCCCAGAGAACCAGTTCGATCTCATTCAAGAGGTTTGATCGAGCAAGGGACTATTTCACAGCGCGCGCGACTCTGCTCCAGGCACACCTCAACGCGCAAAGAAATATAGCGGGAGACGATGCAGACACAGCATTGAGGCAATTTGTAGCTCGTCGCTGCTTCGAAAAGCTGATTCCAAGCTACGGTGTCATCGATGATGCCGGTCCCTTCCGCATTCATTGCGACGATACGCGACCATCCTACATGTTGGTTGATCCAGACACGTTAGAAATCACTGCTGTACTTGACTTTGAGTTTACAAACGCACTTTCAGCCCAATACGCGTACGATGTGCCTTGGTGGCTTTTGCTTCGCCGACCGATAATTCTGCTCGAAAGAATGACTATGGACGAATTCATCGACCTTTTCAGCCCGAAAAGATCAGTTCATTCGAGCTGTTGAACGGATCGAGGCCCAACGTGGCATGCAGAACAGTAACGACCGTCTTTCCGTCAGAATGCGGGAGTCTTGGGACAGTGGGAAGTTTTGGTTCAATCTTGCATCACGTTACTGCTTTGACATTGACGAGATATATTGGGAAAAGCTCCATCGCGAAGGCATCGGCGAGGCAATGCTGCATCCAGTGACCGTCAAGGAGAAAGATAGGTTTATTAACATGAAGATGGATCCATTCAAACAGTATCTGAGGGAAAGACAGAACGACACTCGGCTTTTCAAGTAGGTCTCGTATCTGGAGCCAGCCTGAAGGACAAGTCTCAATTCATACCATAACTCTCATGACAGTTGATTTTGTGCTAAGACGAGTTATGAAAGGAGGGGTTCTATGTCTAGGATTTTGGCTTCGAATTGAGACTCAAGACAAACTTCAGGTCCTGCAGCAAATTATTAGTTTCAAGCAGATGACACTTTCGTTGTTCAACAGTGGTGGCGTACCTCAAGCCTCCCATTGAGCTCCTCTGCTACACCGACATTGAACATGAACTTAGCAACAATTTTCTTCTTCTTCTGCAGATGCATTATGTTCTGTGTGTATCAGTCACTGTCAAACACACAGTGGCAGAAATTACACGATTGCAGACGGGAGCTTACCTGCTCGACAGTCCCCTGGGCAACATAACGGAAGACGGTGACTTCCCTTTCCTGGCCCATTCTCAAAGCTCGCGCGACGGCCTGCTCTTCCACGGAAGGATTCCACTGGGGCTCGACTATGTGCACTCGGTTGGCCACAGTTAGGTTCAGTCTAGAATGGTGTTAGTAAAGAGTACTCCCACCGAGTATCTCAGACTATCCAGATACCCTAAAGCCCCAGTCTCGATCGACATCAACAAGACATGTAGATTCTCATCCTGGCGAAATCGTTCAAACTTCTGCAACCGCTCCAGAGAGCTTGTTCGTCCATCCACCTGGACATGATCCACTGCTGCGTTGCCAAGCAGGATTGAAAGAAGATCCAGCGTAGATGTCCAATAGGAGAATACAATACTTCGCACATACTTATTAGTATCTTGAGACTGAACAAAAAGCCAAATAAGTAACACTGACTGATTCGACGTTAAGTCAGATTTGATGACCTTTTTAATCGCGAAAAGCTTTGCTGAGTGGCCCGTCGACGGAAGCATATCCTCTGGAAATAGAGTCGGCGCTGGCAAAGGAGAGTTTCCGTCCCGATCCGACCCGAAACTGGTGACTGGACTGGATATTTGCAGCGATCGACCGCAATCTGGACAAAATCGGAAGTCCGTGAGCAGCAGTGCTGAGTCTTGATCATCGAATCCAGTGCATCGTTCGCACACTGCTTCCCTCTTTCGACTACTGTCCAGATGTCTGTCGTAACTAGATGGTTTGGACAATGTTCCACTGTTACACAGCATTCGCATTCGGAGAATCGAGATGAACAGTATGTTGTAATTTTTGATGTTCTTGCCCTTGCTGACGTTATCATCGATGTCATGCTTAATCTCATAGAGAACTCTATCATAAAGCTGGCGCTCTGGCGGGGACAGGATGACCGAAATTGTCTCTTCCTTTGACTCTGGCAGCTGAAGAAGCTTCTCAGTTCTCCTAATGCATACTGCCCGAAGCCATGTTCGTAGTGGCTTTGAGAAGTTATTGCCGCCCTGAAAAAGAGGATCCAAAACGCGTCTTTGGAATTCTCCCTTCGTGGGGAATGGCTGCAGCTGCAGGAACGCTGCTAATGAAGCGATGTCTTCGAGCTTATTCTGAACTGGTGTTCCGGTAAGACACCAACGGTTGCGAGCCAATAGACCAGTGACAGCTCTAAAGGTTTTAGATCTCGCATTTCGGATCCAATGAGCTGTAGTCTATCAGCCCTCTGCAGACCATCAAGTGGCACGCTTTTCGCCGCACCTTCATCAAGAACGATGCGGAACCAGCAGAGTTGCTGTAAAGTATTCTTGCCCTTTTCTTCGGCAACGATTGTAGCATACGTTGTCAGCACAATGTCCGACCCTGCCAAGGCGCGAAGGTCTTGCTGACGACTTAGGCCATGAAACATGCTAATGTTCAAGACTCCCGGGTCAAAGTGTCTGCTTGTCTTTAGTTTTAAGAACCGGGACTTTGGAGCCGGCTCACATACCTTTTGACTTCAGAACACCAGCTGTCCAGTAACTCTACACCACAATTTCAATGCTCCTGTCTGCATACGGTAGAAGGCATGTACTTACGCGTTGACGATACAACGACCAATGTAGCCTTCGTATACAACTGAAATTCTTGGGTGTCGCTAGTAGTAAGAGTCGATCTTTGGAATGCTTCAGCATCGGAAGCAGAGTAGAGAATGGAAGCGAGAACAGTAAGGGTCTTGCCTAGCCCCATGACATCCGCAATTATGCCACCACAACTGGTCATTAACCTCCCACTTTCCTGGCTATCAAAATAGTCAGAAGTCCACTCCAAATAATCAAAGGAATACTTACCCGTACTGCGATTGTTCATGCTGAGCCTCTCTCTGAATCATGAAGCGCACACCATGCTGTTGATGTCTTTCATTCAGAGGTTAGATCAATGGCTCATTAAATCCATGGCTCTGACGGTTAGCTTACAGCTTTAGTTGTGAAAGCAGACCATTCAGCCGCCCGTAGTCAAAGTCAGTGCTTCTTGGACTTTCTCCGAGGCATTCGAGGATACTGGAGATTTCATCCGAGATTCTGGCTTATCTTGCCGACAGCAAGTCATTCGTAATCAGCATCTCCACAAGTGCAATTAAGTTAATTTTAACCCCCTAACTTACTAAATTAGCTACTTTTTTTAGTGTTTTTAATTAATTAGACTAATTATAATTAAAATAAATCAATTGCTATATAAAAATATATTATAGCTATATAAAAAATTCATAATAATCCTAATAACCTAAAGTTATTACTAAGTAGTATAACTCCCTTCTTTAGCTAGTTCTTTATTAATTAGAGACTCTCTATAGTACTAAAGCTTATTATAAACCTCTATAAAGTAAGGGTTAACTTAGCTTAACTAAAAGCCTTCTTATAATTAGTAAATATTACTAATATAGTAAAGATATTAATAATAAGCTAATAGAATACTAGGAATATCTCTAACTACTATAGCTACTATATAATAAAATTATTAATAGTATTTAGAAGTTTTTAGAAGAAAATATTAAGCTTATTAATTTAGAGTAGTATTTAGTAGTATTAGCTATTAACTTATTACTAGAAGTAAATATTATTATTACTTTAAGCTTTAGGATTAATAAGATATTATATTAGTATTACTTCTAACTTAGTTAATATATTTTCTAGCTATTCTTTATAATACTACTTATTAAAATAGTCTATAAAGCTACTTAGAGTATTATTAACTTACTCTTTTTAGTAATCTTCTTATTAAGTATTATATAAGTATAATATACTAAATAATAAATATAGAATAATTACTATAGAAAAGAGTAGTAAGTCTCCTATTAACTTATAATACTTTTATAACTTCTATTAAACTTATTTAATATTACTATAGAAGAAAACTTATTATCTCTTATTAAATAAATTAAATTATAAAGCTAATTATAAAGTTAATAATATTTAGTCTTTATAAATATAAATAAAGAGGGCTTATATATAAAATTAGTAGTAATAACTTTAGCTTAAATATAACTATAACTACTATAAGTAATCTTTAAGATTATTATTAGTAAATAGAGAGATTATAGCTTTATAATATATCTTTTAGTTTAGTAAATAAAAAAGAAAATATTTAATACTTATTATAACTTCTTAAAATTAACTATAACTATTACTAATACTTTATCCTTTATATCTCTTTATCTAATAGTAAAAAAGCTCTAAAATTATACTTATTTTAGTTAGTACTTTCTAGTTATCTAAAAAGAGAAAGTTTACTTCTAAAATATATTATTTAATATCTATATTATTATTACTTAATAATATAAAGTTCTAAATCTCTATTTTCTTCTCTATAGCTCTCTAAATTATAAGATATATATTATTCTATTAAGTATTATTATTTAAGATAAAAAAGGCTTCTTAGTATAACTTTAAGAAAATCTAAAAGTTCTTAAAGTTTTTATTAATATTTACTAAAGTTTTTTAATACTATTTATAATATTATAATAATAACTAAATAAACTTAATAATATTATAAAGCTAGCTAATAAAACTAATCTTCTATTAAAGCTTAAGATCCTCTTTATACTAATCTATTAACTAATAGTAATCTAATTTAGCTTTAAAAGTCCCTTTATTAGTACTAAAAAGGAATACCTAAGTTATAAGATTAAGGATATAGCTATAATACTATATATATTAAGCTTTTATATCTATTTCTATTATTTCTAAGTTAAGGTTCTAATAGAAGGCTTAGAAATAGCTATTATTAGTTATAGTATTATTAGAAACTACTACTCTAATCTAATCTTAAATCTAATACTAATTAATAATATTAATAAAGGTCTCTAAGAGGGTAATACTACTATAATTACTATAATATTAATAGAAAGCTAAAAAGTAGGATTATAAAGCTTTATATTTATTAATAAAATAATAAATAATAGCTATAAAAGTATAAATATTTAAAAATAACTATAAATTAAATAATAAATAGATTTTTAAAGCTACTAAGTAAAATTCTATTATTAATAGCTTCTCTCTATATTAGTAGATATTATCTAAATAGTTATAAATAGATATATACCTTTATAGTATTTTATTAATAATCTCTATACTATAGTACTATAATACTTATTAGAAATAAGTATCATTGTCAACGAGGCTGACAGCCACAATGGGCGAGTTGGGGTCGGCGCGGGCAGTTATTCCGGACCCTTGGGTACGTATACTGCGAAGCTACTGGACTGGGCACTGACCGAGGTGCTTTTACTGCTTTTTCCCCTACTGTGAAAACCCCTACTGGGTGGGCTCGAAACTTCCTCAACATTAGAAATAAGTATTCTTAAAATAAAAGAAGGGGAAATTAGTAGAGATAATAGTAACTATATAGAGATTATATAAAGTTATTACTTTAGCTTTTAGAATATTTAAATTATTAAACTAAAACCTCTTTAGTAATAGAGAAGTTAATATATATATTAATAATAGAGGAGTAATATTATTAGAGTTTTTATCTAAGTAAGGAGAGATCTTATATATATTATAAGTACTTTAATATTATTAAAATATAATTAATATAGAGAGAAAGCTAAAATAACTATACTAAAATAAGTACTTTATAGAAGTAGATATAGTAGTAATACTAAAAACTCTTAGACTACTTTTTAAATTATATTAATTATAATTCTAAAAAGACCCCTTAATATAACCCTAAATAACCTTAATAAAGAAAATACTATAATCTTAAATCTAGCTAGATTAACTCTACTTTTACTTTTATAATAGCTATACTTTAAGTATATACCTCTTATTATTTATAATAATCTATATAAAATTATTAATTATAGGATTTAAAGGAATAATAGTAATAAAAGTATTTATAATCTATATAAAGATTTAGAAGTATAAAGTACCTAAAATAGTATATATATTAGTAATTAATAATAAAGTAATAATAATAGTAAATATCTTTAGTTTAAAGATAATAAAAGTAATAATATATATAAATAATAAGAATAAGATAAAATACTAAATATCTTTTATAAATAATATCTAATCCTAATAATATTTATATTATTTAATTTACTATAATTACTTCTATCTCTCTAAAAATTTTAAAAAAGATTAGCTACTAATTAATATTATAAAAGTATTTTAAAAAGCTTTATTAAAATATATAGTAATTAAGAAGTTAGTAATAATAGTATATTTCAGTAACTAGGTATACCTAAATAAATAGGGCCCTAACTAATCTATAGCTTCCTATTAGCTAGATTATAAGATATTAAGTTAGTTAATTTAATTAGAGGGGGTTAAATTAACTACTTAAGGGATAGAGATAGCCTTACTTTAACTACTTAGGTTAAATAGTTTATTAATCCGATTGCACTTGCAGAGACGCTGTTCATGATGCTGACCAGCGCTTTGGTATCTTCCTCATCTTCCGAAAAATTCCAGAAATGCGGATTGCAGTAGTCGATTTCTTTAGGCAGGCTCTTAGGATGCTGCAAGAATGCTGAGGCTGCAGACAGCTTATGTCCAATCTCCTCTGCATCTGATGGTTAGCCATAAATATTGATTGAGAGCGCGACGGATTCCACTTTTCTTGTGTTGCCCTTCTTTCGTTTGATTATCGCCGTCTTTTCCACCACGCCGTGGAATCGAACAGGATAGACATCGTCAATAACCCGAAGCTGGGCACTACAATGAGCGTCAAGTGCCGCAAATGAACCGTCCTTATCTGGCCAACAAAGGGTGTATTGACCTTCGCTGCTGCGTATGTCAAAAACAAAGACGTCGTCGCACCCGAGAGACTCTACGAAGGTGTGCTCGTCAAACCTGTACTGGTCATGGTAAGGTAGAGCAAAGCCGTCATACAACTATTGATGATGAGTTTACCAGCTTTATGATCCAAATTCGCAGACGGAATAGACTCACTGCGCCAAAGCAAACTCCTTTGCTCACCCCTCGCTCGCCATCACTGTCGTGAAATGCCTCGTCAAATGATCTTTCCATGGTGCTTTAGACGTTGAAGCGCACATAGAACCACATTGGGGGAGGGGGTTTGAGGTGATTTTCTAAGTCATTAAATCAGGCTGCCGCCCGACCGGAGAACTCGGCGCTTAATAAAACCTACCCCAGCTGACAGCCACAACCGCTGGTATTCGCAGCTCCCGAGGTATGGCCGGTCATTGACTCAATGTAACCCCCTGGATCTGCGGGCAGTGCGCAAGGCGTTCTCATCGGATCCTTCAGTACCACCAGGCTAACCGCTTACACCGGCTGCAAGAGCCGGCTGCAAGAGAGCCCAACACCACCAACTACCTTATGTATGCGCACCCAACCCAACTTTCCACGAAACACCACCCCCCCCATTCCTTTCCCCTCTTCTTAGCTTTCAAGTATGCGCTCATCTGAATCTCTCTTCCCTAAACACTGCCTTTACTGATCGCGCTGCGATCCGGAAATCTTTGGACCCCATTCGGGATGGATCCAGAGTCAGAAACAAAGGCTGGTTTTCAGCGTGCTGCTGACCGGTTCAAGGCATCTGTGCCACCAAAGATTTTCAGCGAGTTTTCTCAACGGAGTAATAGTATTTCGTCGCTTAAGGACGAGATCAAGACAATACAAAAAGAACATGGAGCCAGCGGGTCTCTTCGCAATATGCCGCGATTGAGACGGTTCATCGAGGCCATGACTCAGTTTGGCCAGGTGATTGAAGTTTTTGTCAACGCCAATGACTTCGTTTGCTTCATCTGGGTATGTCAGACTAGTTTCAGTCTTAGTACGCAACACTGATACGTTCGATTACGTGAAAGGGTCCAATGAAATTCTTACTTGGGGTGAGTACTGTTGGAACAGCTGTCAAGGTGCCCCCTTGTCACTTAAGCTTCATAGGTCGCAAAGACCCATCTTGACACATTTGATAAGCTTCTCGACGCATACGCACAGATTGGCGATGCTATACCCGGTCTTTCGGTGTATAAAGGCGTATTTGATCAGCATGAAACTCTTAAAGTGGTTATGCAAGATTACTTCTCTGACATCCTACGATTCCATGAGGAGGCGATCAAAATCTTCGCACGTTCAAGTGAGTTCGTCCTTAATCTATACTTCTTCATTGGTTATGAATACTTAATTATCCAAAAGAAATGAAGGATTTGTTTCATGCCGCTTGGAAGACCTTCGATTCTCATTTCGGCCCCATCCTGCAGAGTCTGCGAAGCCGGCGAGAATTGCTAGAGAGCGAAAAGCTCTCGGCATCTCTGGAACATGTCCATATCATTCGAAGGAGAATCGAAGAACTATACAAAGATCAGGTAAAGGCCGCTGACATGCAAGCACTAGAGACACACAGGTCGGGAATGGCACGAATCAAGGAAATGCTCCGGCCTCCGACCTATTTCGAAGACCAAGCCGCTGCATTTCGCAGAAGGGAAGCGCCAGGGACAGGCGAATGGATCTTTGAAGAACCTCGATACATTTCTTGGGCTGACCCCAATACCCCTGGCCACTCAGTCCTGTATATCAATGGCATACCAGGAGCTGGTCGGTGCAGACCTGCGAAGCTACCTAACGGTCATTTCATGCTGACTTTTGTCACTTTTAGGGAAGTCAACATTAGTCTCCCTCATAGTCCGAAGACTCTTAGAGACCTATGTCGAACAGAAGACGCCGCATTCTGTAGCGTATTTCTACTTCAAGCACATGAAGTCAGAGAAGAACAACCATCAGAGCTTTCTTCGAGCTATTCTCAGCCAGCTTATTAGCCAAGACGCCATGGTGTTACAAGAGGTTTCGGCAGAACTACAATACGAGTCTGACGAGAACTTTCAGTCGCAGTCAAACCTTGAAGCCCTCACCAAAACGGCTCTTGAAGGATATGGTGTTTCATTTCTTGTCCTCGATGGGCTGGATGAATGTGATAGTCAAGAGGCATGCATTACAATTCAATGGCTTGTTTCACTTGTCGAGGGTAATCGAGCTCTTAACAAGGCAGATCTGCGAGTTATCATATCCTCACAGAGAGACGGATTGGTGGATAGGCAACTCTCATCCTATCCGGCTATCTCACTGGAGTCTACGAAGCACCAAGCCGACATTGAGCAGTACTGCTTGCATTATGCAAAACGGTTTCGACAGAGGTTCCCTCTAAAGAACGATCTTGAAAATGCCATTGTTCTCTTGGTCCTTGACGGAGCGCGAGGCAAGTATATAATCGGTTCAGAATACAAATCAGTACTGACGCAACCAAGGGATGTTTCTCTATGCTCGGCTTGTTCTAGACTTTTTGATCAACCAGGTCAGTCTAGCGAAGTTGAAGAAGCAACTAAAGCCGGGAGTATTCCCAAAAGAACTCAATACTGCGTAAATAAGACACAGATTTTGCCTTATGTAGAATGCTTCTGACCGGTTTTAGGTACGCGCGAATAGTGGCCAATATCTCGCGAGGGAAACACGAATCACAGCGGAAGGCAGCAAAGAAAATTCTAGGGTTTCTGGTCGCTTCAAAGCGTGATTTAAAATGGCGAGAGATACAGTCCCTGTTCTGCATTAAAACTCGTCCTGGGACAGTCGACCTTGACGAGCGGTTGCAAAACGATGCCAAAGAGCTTTGTGGGTCTCTTGTGGACACCCACGGCCTGGCTGCGGCACCAAGTGACCCTGAAAGTATCGTTCAAATTGTGCACAGTACTGCTCGGAGGTAAGGAGCGAGAGAAAATCAGAAGGTCAAGGCTAATTGCATTACATAGATACCTCATTGAGGAGAAAATAATTAACGAAACTCTGGCAAATGCTCGACTATTGTCGTTCTGCTGCAGGTATCTGGTTTCGCCGCCTTTTGCCCACACTAATCAGTTGGATGTGATATCTTTGCATGCTAGACAGGCGTACTACTCTATGCAAGACTATGCCGTTGCAAACTGGTACGGTCATCTCCAAGCCCTCGGAGACAGGAACCTGGGAGGGTCCGACGAAACTCCCAAACTTGCGCGGCAATTAAGAAAGGCAACCCGTGCAACCCGACGCTTTCTTACAGAGTATGGTTCTTCAATGCGACTTATTAAGAATATTCGACATTGTCCTACCCCACGGGAAATACTAGGCAATCTTCCGCAGGGTGAAAAAGATCTAGTATCTTTCTTGGATTTTGAACAACGGACGACCAAGATTCGACGAGAGATCGAAAGCCTAGAGCATCTTCCCGACGAAGAGAGGATTGTCTTGGAGTGGCTGTACGGCCCGCTCCCTACCTTCAAATGCCCCAAGCCCGCATGCTCGATGTTTTCTGAAGGCTTCGCTACGGCACAGGAGAGAGACAAGCATGTTCAATGCCACGAACGTCCATTTCTCTGCAACGTCGAGGACTGTTTTGGTTACATTCTTGGCTTCGTGTCGGCGGAAGCTCTTCACCAACACCAAGCAAAGTACCACTCGGAGGCGCCGACATCTTCACTGTTTCCATGGGTAGAAAGTCAAAAGAACGCAAAAAGTGTCCATACAAAAAATCTCAGAACTGCGGTATATTCTGGTCATCTCCATCGCGTTATCGAATTGCTAGACGATGGGGCAAACATTGACAAGAGGTGGAATGGTTATGAGACCCCCTTGTGGGTTGCCGCAAATCGCGGTGACTATGACATCTGCAAACTTCTTATCGAAAGAGGCGCGACTCTTGGAAAACCAAAGTCATACCACAGCTGGCAAGCAACGCGACCAAATGCAGATGGAATGACTTCATACACCCCACTAGCAACAGCTTGCGACCGGGGGTTCATCAAGATAGTGAACTTGATTTTGAGCGCCCACGTCAAAACCGACACTCTAGGCGACTCAGCTATCCACATTGGGTTTATCAAAGCCGTCACAAGGGATCGACGGGAAATAGTTCGCTTGCTTCTGGGCTCTTACGACTTCATGGATGAAGAAGGTGCCGGCAACTTTCGAGGAAATCCCGTCCGGGAAGCATGTCGGCGAGGCCACGTTGACATGTTAAGTTTGCTGCTCCAAAACGGCTTTCAATCAAAGGCCGACAATACCTGCATAGGAGAGTGCATGCGGAGCCAAAGAAAAGGGTATGATTGGCAAAGGAAGAAAATGATCTTGAAAACTTTGCTCTCGGCCGGATGCCTGGAGGAGGGTATACATCCTGACAAAATCCTAAATGCAATCGTCATTCGGCAGCCATTGATCGCCGCTTTGTTCTTATCACATTCCAAAACGGAATTGGCAACGGAAGACTTGACATATTTACGAGACATTTCAGATCGATTTCCAGGAGTTGTGAAGCTCATCGACAAGCGGCTTGCCGTAGAGGAAAACAACGCAATACCTCTCCTCTTCAGAAACAATACTGGTAGTAGTTGAAGAAATAAGTAGCTACAAGACTGATAGGGGGCAGGGAATAGCCTTTGTCTACAATCGACGCGACAGCACAGGTGCTTTGTATTATGGTGGATGACTCTCATATTATAGTTAAATTTACGTGTCTGTTTTCCTCTAATTTTGCATTCGCGGCTAGCTTACATCACGTTTCAGCCTTTATGCGTCTTCTCTCGTTTACTTCTGAGCTTCTGCTAAGACTGCAGCCTCATGTTTTGATCAGAAAGGCAAATTATAATACTCCCCTCAGGAGAGCTTTATCATGAATTACAATCTCGTTCAACTGTATCATCGTCTTCATCACTTTATAATCACGTAAACATACCTGTCGGCAAGAGACTATACTGATCACGAAGCTTCTTACAACGACCTAAAACGAACAGATCCACTTGAGGCAAAGCCCGGTATATTGAAATCTACTCAACCCATCATTACCCTCCTCCCCTCAACCCAAATGAAAACTCAGAAAAGGGAAGAAAGGACACATACACGATTACGCTTTACAGATATGGGTTAGAAAGATGCATAGAGCACGCACCGCGATATACGGTGACTGGTCCATCCATCTCCAACCCGTATTTGTAAAGCGTAATCGCATATATCCTTCCCCCCTTCCCTCAGTTTTACCACAAATCTCCATCGCCCGAGACTCGTTACACACCACCACTACCACCGCCAGAAAACAAGTCGAAAGCCCTTCAACACCTATAACAGCATAGAACAATAAAACAAAGTCATACCTTCTACATGTACCCAATAATACACATTTCGCAAAGGAGCCATGCAGCAGTGCCATTACGCCGTGTCTTCTTTCTTTTTCGTGGGGAACATTTGTCTCACTCTTCTCCTTTGATCATCATCAATCCGTCTTTTCGTCCCGGCTCGCTTCTGAAAATGAACTCTCTACACCATATAAACCCCTCTCAAACCATGGCAATAATGGATTTGTTTATCCACCTTCTCTGAACTCAAATTTCGCGCGCTGGCCAATCTTGGAAACCGAGCAAGCAATTCTATTACACCTCCTCACCGGCGACTGACTCGTAACCACCCGCTCTGCGTCGTCCCCGGCTCATGTTCATGAGAGATGGGCTCTCGTACATGGCCGTGTAGTTGATGGGCTCACCAGCCAGCATAGCCGAACCGTTCTCGCGAGGACCAAAGGTAGGCGCGGGATCGCACCAGAAGTCGCGGCAGTTGGCCATGCAGCCGTTGGAGTAGGGGTTCTTCTTTCTGCGCTTGTTGCCGGTGGCGGCGCCACGACCGCGGATGGTCTCGATGAAGGGGTCGACGCCGAGAAGACGGGCCCATTGCTGGAGGCGACCACCCTTGTGCTTGTGGGCGTGGCCATGGCCATGGGTCTCGGGGGTTGCGAGGGAGGGGTGGTTTGGGTCGAGGGGAGTGCCGGTCGAGGTGAAGGCGGGGGTGATGGAGCCGTCCTGGATACCGAACATGTTCTCATAGGTAGTCATCGCGCGGGAGACTTGGACGAACTGAACGAAGAGCAGCATGCCGACCCAGGTGAGTTGGAGGGAGACCCAGACGGTGAGGATCGCGGTGTAGCCATCGGCGTTGACGACCTTGCAGAGGCCAGGGCTGAGGAAGTTGCAGCTGTCGGAAGCCTTGGCTGAGATGTCGGAAAGGTCTGTGCGAGAGTTAGATGGCGGATCTGAGGATGAGGCATGAGCCACTTACAGTCGTAGACAAGGAAGTCAAAGGAGATGATGCCCAAGGTCAAGCTGATGAGGTACAAGAAAAAGTGGCGGTGGTTGTTGACGCCAACACAGTTGTAGACCCAAGGGCAGTGACTAAGGAAGTCAGTAAGCAGTTTGACTGTAAGACTTTTGGATAAACTGACTGGTCGTGCTTCGCGACACACTTCTGGCAACGCTTGCAGTGCTTGCTGCGGAGAGGGGTCCTGATCATGCACGTAACACAAAAGTTTGACTCATCAAACTTCCACAGCTTAAGCAGCTCATCAATGACGGCCTTCTGCTCGGCGATGCCATTCATCTTGGGGACGAAGCCGGGGTCGTAGCGCATAGCGGCGGCATAGAAGTAGGCAGTAAGGGCGAGGAAAGTTCCAAAGAGCAAGTTCAACCACCAGTGAGACTGAGTGGCGGCAGATCCAGTGGTGCCAGGCAAGACGGTCGTCAGCCATCTAAGGCCAGTCCAGAACACGGAAGCGGCAAAGATACCTGCCAACCAGGGCTACAATTGTCAGCATTAATGTCGCATAAGAGACCAAAGACACTCACAGTCTTATGGAAATGCTTCATATCAGGCGGCGCAAACTCAATGACCTGTTGCGCGCACCATTGGATGCTGTATCCCACTATCACCGCAAAGAACACGCCCGCATACACCGGCATGCTCCCCAGTATGGTGATGATAGACCACACCAGCACGAACGGCCAGAGGAACAGGAACTTGGTGACGAATCCCCTCTTATCCTGGCGGAGGAAGCGCGCGCCAGGGAAATGCGGCTCGATCGGTTGCGCGTCCTCGTCGTAACCACACTCCTTCAAGGCGCGGTGCCACGCGTTGGTCGTGTTAAGCTCCTTCGCCGTCACGGCAGGCGTCTTGCCGGTCTGCGTCTTTGCGAATCGGTCGGCGCCGTACTCGAGCAGTCTCTGTATACACGCGGGCGAGCCCTTGACGAGTGCCCAATGCAGCGCGGTAAAGCCCTGTTCGTCGGTGGTGTGGACGCTCGCGCCCCAGCGCAGGAAGAGGTCGACGCATTGCGGGAAGCCCTTGTACGCGGACCACATCAAGGCCGTGTGCCCGTAGCTGTCGAGGACGTCGACGGGGATGCCCTGGTGGAGGAGGAGGACGAGCAGGAGGGTGTTGCCGTTGAAGGTCGAGATGTGGAGGGTGTTGTAGCCCTGGGCGTCGGTGATGAGGGGGTCGGCGCCATGCTGGAGGAGGAGGTTGACGGTGTAGTAGTGACATCTCTGGGCGGCCCACTGAAGGGGAGTGGCTACTGACTCTCCGCCCTTCCTGTTGATCTCGGCGCCGTTGTCGATGAGGAACTTGCACATGGCATACTGGTTGTTGATTGCTGCCCACTAGGAGCCGTTAGCGCCATGTGATGCGGTTAAAGGTGGTACAAAGAGTGAACGGTGGGAGACTGCATGGAAACGTACATGGAGGGGGGTGATGCCCTCGTCGTCTGAGAAAGTCGCATCGTACTCGCCGGCCTCAAAGAGCTTCTCCATGGCCGGGACGTCTCCGACTCTGGCAATCTGCATGATGTCGTTCTCCGCATTTGGCGCATCGCCGCCCATGTTTCCCATCTCGACCTCGTTGTTTAATGTCGGCGCGACAGCACTGGTCTTGTTGGCGGGCTGGTTCGGGGCGACAGAGGCAGCTGCGGCGCCGCCTCCTGGTGTCGTTGACTTGTCCATCGAGGTCGGGGCCAAGCTTGGCGCGATTGTGTGGTTGTGGGCTCGGAAGGACGGGGGAGATTATCGAAGGAGTGGACGCTGGTTTATGCGACGGGAGGACGGGGGAGGTATCTATTCGGCAGACGGAAGCTTTTCGGATCGATCTTAGCGTCGCATTGCTCGTTAAGGTTGATGGTCCAGGCGACGACGGTAGTAAGAAAAAAGATACAAGGCCAGGGGTCTCGAAGGTGGGAATAAAAAGAGACACAACACAAGACGCACAACGGTCGAGGCGAAAAGAAACGACGGAGCGGAAAAGGCACCGAAGCCAAGGGGACGAAATTGCGTGTCGTCAGCTCCAGCACTTCACTCGGCAGCAGCGTTGAAGACTGGGGGCGCTTTCCACTAAGAAAGAGGTCAGAAGGAGATCGCCGGGGACCCTCCCCCTAAATCGGACTAGCGAGGCTGAGCTGACAAAGGAGGCGACCCACCCGTCACCTGCCGTCGTAGCCGTGATTGGATGGCAGGGTGACAGCGCCCCAAAGCTTGGCATCGGTCACGCATGAGGCCCCTGGTTGGTCGGGTCCCTCGGCCACCCTCAGCCTCGTCCCTCAGGCGCGCAAGTGTGGCTGGAGAAGACAGCTCAACGGGTCTAACCCAAAGGGGGACATGGACAGAGACAAGCTCCACCAGACGCCTCCCACTCCACTGACGGCATGGCATTGGCACGCGATTCCTTCTGGAAATCTGTCAACGACCACGACTAAAACATCGTCAATCTTCCCCCAACAGTCGGCCGTTCGCGCGCCTCGTACTCGATACGATCCCCTCCCCACGCCTCCTGTCCCCAGAGGCCAGACAACCGCAATCATGGCAGCCAACACGGGCTCCTTCGTCGAGTTCTTCGAACACATCATGACGCCCTCCGCACCCGTCATCCTCATCGGCGTCGCCATCGTCCTCCTCTTCCCCATCCTTCTGCACTTCATCCTCGTCAAGTCGACGCCCTACACCACCCTCCCCTCGGTGCTTCTCCTCGGGCCCTCCGGCGCCGGCAAGACCGCCCTCCTCACCCTCTTCGAGCGCGGCGACACCCCCGCGGCGACCCACACCTCCCAGCGCCCCAAGACCGTCGAGCTCACGGCCTCCCGCGACAGCAAGACCAAGACCAGCTTCCGCAACCACGACGACACCAGCGGCACCCACACAAAGTTCCTCCTCGTCGACACCCCCGGCCACGGCAAGCTGCGCAACTTCGCCATGGCGAAGCTCGCCGGCAGCGCCAACGACAAGTCCAAGCTCAAGTCCATCGTCTACATGGTCGACGCCGCCGCCATCAGCGAGCAGGACATCCTCGCCCCGTCCGCCAGTTACCTCTACGATGTCCTGCTTGGTCTGCAGAAGCGCGCCTCCTCGAGCAAGACTTCCAAGCCCCCTGCGCCGATCCCCGTCCTGGTGGCCGCGAACAAGGTCGACCTCTTTACTGCGCTGCCCGGCGCGCTTGTCAAGACGAGTCTCGAGGCGGAAATCACCCGCATCCGGGCTTCGCGCAGCAAGGGTCTGTTGGATTCTGGTGTTGGTATTGATGATATTGGTTCTGAGGAGCACGACGACTGGCTGGGCGCATACGGCACTGAGAAGTTCACCTTCGATCAGCTGCGCGAATTCGATGTCGAGGTTGACGTTGTCGCGGGCAACGTGTCTGGAAGCGGACCCGGAGCCGACAAGTGGTGGTCATGGATCGCCGAGCGGGTATAATAATCATCGCCGAGAGGGGCACATAATAATACAATTACATGATTTTGAGCAAAAAGAGCGTCTTTCAAAAACGTGACAAGCATGATACGGAGAAAAAAGAGCTGGGTTCAAAAATGCGCATACTGTTGTTCTATCCATTGATCAGGCTGCCCTGTTCTATGTAGATGTTGAGTCTACCCATCCGAGACTTCCAAGCCAATGCTGCCAAACCGGGGTCAGTTGATGCGACCCAAGATTCGCCCCTACCACCGCGATGCTCGCTTCCAAACGCCGTTAATAAAAGCAAAGTCCCATCATCCCTCCTCGTGTATCTTTTGCCCCACTCTATCAAATCCAATTCATTATCATGAAGGGGAAAAAGATAACATCTACGCCTTCTTGTTCACAACCCAGGTGAGCAGGTCGACCTTGGTGACGACCGCCACAGGCTTCGACAGCGCCTTGTTGCCCTCGCCCTTCTCCGTGACAACTGCCGCGCTGTTCCACTCGAGGAACTTGCTGAGCGTCGACAGCGGCGTGTCGAGCGTGATCTCGACAAACTTGCGCTTCTTGCCCTTCTCCTTGGCCTCGCCGCCGGCAATTTCTCTGGGATCCGTGACGACCTCGTCCAGGCGGCCAAAGTCGAACATGACGTCGCTGACGGGACTGCTCGCGGACGCACGACCCGAGGACACGTAGCTGAGCAGGTTGCCGAGCGTGACCAGGCCAACGAGCTTGTTGCCCGTCGCAGAGAGCACGGGGAGCTGGTCGAAGCCCTTGTCGCGCATGATCTCGGACGCCTCGGAGACGGGGCTAGACGCGGAGACGGTCATAACGGGCTTCAGGCGCAGCGCGCGGATCGTCGCACCGTGGTAGGGGTCGGTTGTCTCGGCCTTGTTCGACGAAGCCTGCGTCTCGAGGCCGTTGACCTCAGGGAGGAGATCGTTCGCGGCCAGCCAGTCGTCGTCGGCGAACTTGGACAGGTAGCTGCGGATGCTGTCGGGCAGCACGACGACGACAGTATCGCCCTTGCCGAGGCCGAGGTCCTTGACGGCGCGGACCATGGCCGCCATCGCGGAGCCGGAGCTGCCGCCAACCAACAGGCCCTCCTCAGCGATCAAGCGGCGCGCGAGCTGGAACGACTCGCGGTCCTCGGTCTTGTACCACTTGTCGACGATCTCGCGGTCCAGCACGTCCGGGATGAAGTCGTACCCGATACCCTCAACCTTGTAGCCCTCGTTCACGTGCTCCTGGTTGAGCGACTCGGGCAGGGCGAGGATGCTGCCGTGGGGGTCCGCGGCGACGACCTTGATGTTCTTGTTGTGCTTCTTGAGCCCGCGGGCGATGCCGGTGATGGTGCCGCCGGTGCCGGCGCCGGCGACGACGGCGGTGATGGCGCCGTTGGTCTGGTTCCAGATCTCCTCTGCGGTGCCGAACTCGTGGGCGAGCGGGTTGTCGAGGTTGCCGTACTGGTCGAGGATGTGGGCGTTGGGGATCTCCTTCTCGAGGCGGCGGGCGACGCCGATGTGCGACTCGGGGCTGTCCCAGGCGGCCTGGGTCGGGGTGCGGATGATGGTGGCGCCGAGGGCCTTGAGGACGGAGACTTTCTCGGCGGACATCTTCTCGGGGAGGGTGATGATGGTCTTGTAGCCCTTGATCGCGCCGACGAGCGCCAGGCCGATACCACTGGAGGGAGAATGTGTTTAGCTTTGGAGAGTCAGAGGGCAGGGCAATGCTGCGCAAACGTACGTGTTGCCGCTGGTGGGCTCGATGAGGGTGTCGCCGGGCTTGATGCGGCCGCTCTTCTCGGCCTCCTCGATCATGCGCAGGGCTATTCTGTCCTTGACGCTGCCGCCGGCGTTGAAGAGCTCGACCTTGGCGTACACCTCGGCCTCGATTCCCAAGCTCTGGGGGATCTTGTTCAGACGAACGAGCGGCGTGTTGCCGATCAGCTCAGTCGCCGACTGGGCGGTGACGGCCACTCTGGTGGCGTTGATGGACTTGATGTCGCCCATGATTGCGGATTGAGGGATCGTGGGTGTTCGGGATGGTTGTTTAGGGTATGAAAGAAAGAAAGTCACGACAGAGAAAGAGATAGAAAAGAAGAAAAAGAAGAATACTTTCTCAGTCCACGGACGTAGGTCTGACGAAGCCAAAAAGAGAAACGCAATCCTTGTGGTGGGATGGTGCGAGAATGAAAAATGACCCCGCCAACGCCGAAGATATCCGCCCACCTGCCTCAACCGCCGTGGCCCGACCTGCCTACCAGCGGCCAACCAGCCTGCCACCTGCCGCTTCAGTGCAGCGCGCAACAGCGCTGACGCTCGGCGCAAGACAGGGGCCCCAGCACCGAAAACTCCACACCGCCGCCACCCCCTAGCGGGCAAAGGAATTTTTTCTGAACTGTTGCCCCTCCAAAGGGAGCGCAGCAGCGGGTTCCCATTACCTCATCGCCTGCTACCTTGACGGGCCACGTCCCCCTCGGCGTTCCCCGAGTCGCCGACTGAACTGAGACACGTGGGTTAGAGCTTTTTCTTGACTGTCCTGATCCTGGCAACTTTTGTCAACTCCCCTGTTGTCAATTCGGCTCAGACTTTACAGTCTAGGCTTCAGAGAGTCTGGACTCACGCAGTCTCAAGATCGGCCTGCTGACGTCTGAATGAGTCTCAATAATTGCACGATAATACTTATAACTTGGTGTGAAGTTGACCACATCTAAGAAAGATGACACGCAAGTTTGAGCTATCATCCAGAAGTTCATATTCCTCAAAAAAATGTGTCGAGGCAACCAACCTCTAAGCGACCAGGACCTACAGGTTAACGAGAATGAACAGTCACCTCGAGGGCTCGTAGGGCAATGATGAAGAGACGGCAAAGAGTCAAAGACAGTAATTCCTACCTCGCCAACCAGGTATTCTCGACTTGTGGATCAGTGAGTACAAGACGAGATGAATGTAAGAGTTGTCACTTTGGAATTCCCTTCTCCGACTTATCCTCAAGAGATAATGCACCCAACCCTGCAAGATCAGCTTCCTTCTCTCCAGCTGCGGAAGGCTCCTGAAACTCTTGAAGATCCGAAATTCGAATGACCCGACTATCTACTTCATCCACGTTCTCATACATCTTCCCTTCAAAAGTCTCCATCAACATACTCGCCTTCTCATCCATATTCCGCGCCATCCTCAAGATCGATCTACGCTCCAGGATCAGATTGTGCCTGGCAGAAAATTCCTCATGCTCCCCAAAGTCAGGCAGCCGTCGCGGTATCTCAGCAATGCAGACACCGCCCCCAGCAGGCCACGCCACCGACACCCAACGACGCTCCTCAGACGTCGGAACTGATGCAAACCCGCCCTCTATCTCGTCGATGACAAGGTCGTCGTAGTTGATAGCCCCCAGCACGAACCGGAACCGGTCAAGAGACTCCCACCGCCGCGCCCCAAGACGGAGCAAACGCCTGCAGAGCTCGTTCTCGGCGTCTTGCTCTGGGAGTCGGACGGGGTCGCTGAAGCGCAAGTAAACGGCCGGACGACTATAAAACGGGTCCTTGTGTGAGGCTTGCCAGATGGAGTTGTTCAGAGGCTCGTATGGGAGAGAAAGGAAGGCCAGGTCGATCGCTGAGACGTCCTCGAGCGCCACGACGTTCACCCCGTCACCTTGGTCCGTGGGGTAGCCGAAGACGTGAATGTGCGTTGTGACAACCTCGAAGCGCGGGGCGTTTGGGGAGGTGTGGTCGGGGTCGGGCGGAGGAGGTGCCCGGGCGTTACCGCAACGGATTGTGCTGGCCGGGGGGTGAGTAGGCCCGCCTGGATGTGCGACTGGCCGGCGATGCATGATAATAATCCGTGAAGGTTTCGAGCGATTGACTAAACGAGCAAACACTAGCGATGTTTCGGACGGGTGAACAGCCGAGGAGATGGAATGAGGAGGATGAGGAGACTTGCGGATACCCGTTGGCGGCATACCAACTTTGAAATAGTATGCCGTCCACAAACACCAGGCATCAGACAAGGATCTCTGTTGGAACGCGGTCTCGTGGTATCTGTATTGTGGCGGCACAGCAGCAAGCACCGGATGGGTTTCTTGGCGTTGGTCACAATTCATCATCCTTCGGTGGAAGAAGGGTTGGCGGTAGGTGTTATTCTTATATGCTGTAATTGGGTGAGAACTCTAGGCATGATAAACGCACTGCTATATCTGGAAGAGAATTATGTTGTACTATTGAATTCATCTAGCAGTCTCATCCGCTGCATTGAGAAACATCTATCTTATTCTACCTTAGTACCTATGGATCCCATTTTGCGCTGTCTACCACATAGCCTTCCACGTCAACGATCATCCCCTGAGAGCTCTTTAAGTTACAGCAACACCACTCACGAGGCGATAACTCAATTCAGATCATTGATGTGAACTAAACTGATATCGACGATATCCCCCACTAGTTTACTCCACTTGTCTCCAAGCCTCAAATGTCGGAACACACAGCCAATAATACCACCAACAATCTAGACCAGACGATGAATTCTCTAGAATGAGCTGTAATTTCACTTGTCACAGTCCAGTCGTCGACAATGATAGAAGATGTAGTGATGTCTTTTCGTCCGGAGCTCGGCCGAATTATGACGGTGGCGCAAACCACATCAGCATTCCTCACCACCATGATACCCTCATCCGTCCGAATTGGTCCGCTGAGAATATTAAAGAGTAGTACAAATAGGAAGGGTCTCTCTGAGTCCATTGAGTTACATTTATTTGGGTCATCAGTTTTGCGAACGCTTCATTCTACCTATTCATATAAAACCCCTGTCATTTCAGCAACTGCATCCCATTTTTGGCGCAGCTGACGATGTCTCGAAACGGCAACTCGCCCAAGAAGAACATAGTCATTCTCGGCGGGTCATACGGCGGCGTCTCAACGGCTCACTATCTTCTGCGACATGCTATTCCGGACCTGGCGGCTGAGGAAGGCTACCAGGTCGTCCTGGTCAGCAGTTCATCCCATGTCATGTGTCGTCCCGCATGTCCGCGCGCCTTGATATCGGACGACATGTTTCCCCAAGACAAGCTATTCGTCGACATCGCAACAGCTTTTGAGCAGTATCCTGCTGACAGGTTTCATTTCATATGCGGAACTGCTACGGCGCTGGACCATATCAACCGCACTGTTTCTGTCACCGTGGCCGAGGGTATAGTCATCGAGAAATTGGACTTCGACGCTTTGATCATCGCAACGGGTGCATCTACACCTTCTCCACTTCTGGGACTCAACGGCAGCTACGAAAGTCTGCGGCGGAGCTGGGAGGATTTCCGCAAGGCTCTACCGCAAGCGAAGACCATCGTCATTGCAGGGGGCGGCCCAGCTGGAGTCGAAACTGCAGGAGAGCTAGGGGAGTATCTCAACGGTCGAGCGGGCCTCTTCAATTCGACACCAGAGACGCCAAAGGTGGCTATCACGCTAGTCACATCCGGATCCAAGATTCTCCCCGCGTTGCGCCCGTCACTTGCCGAGAAGGCCGAGCAATATTTGGCACAAGTCGGTGTTATTGTCCTCAAGAACATTCGGGTTGATAGTGTTACCCCAAACGAAGCGGGAGTTGAGGGCGTCGGAATGTCTGCGATCATCAACCTTTCAAATGGCCAGACTGCCAGGGCGGACCTGTACATCCCAGCAACAGGCACTCGCCCAAACACCTTGTTCATCAATCCCTCGCTACTCACCTCTGACGGGCGCGTCGAGACGAACCCGTCAACTCTCCGTGTCGACAAAGCGGGGCCGCGCGTTTACGCCATCGGGGATGTGTCCTCGTATGCCCGGCCGGCAGTCCACAATATCCTCGGCGCCGTCCCGGTTCTTTGCGCTAACCTCAAGCGGGACCTGTTGCTTATTTCGGGGAAGCCGACTGTGGCAATCAGGGATGACCGGGTGTTCAAAGAAGATCTGAGAGAAACGCAGATGGTGCCGATTGGGAAGAGTAAAGGCGTCGGCGCGGCGATGGGATGGCGCTTGCCGGGGTTCCTGGTGTGGTTGATCAAGGGCCGCGACTACTGGCTGTGGACAACGATGAAGCTATGGAGCGGTGAGCAGTGGGCTGTGGCAACCTGACGCTTGTCTCTCAGATAACTTACTTCGTGCATCCACAAGTCCAGCTGAGCTACGAGCCTTCTTCACCGGAAGCTCGTCAGTCAATATTATCCCATGCTTCCTTCAAAGAGTAGCCTCGTCGCTTTTACTTGTGTGTCAACTTGTCACGTCCATAACAAGGAGCCCATGATAAGATGAAAGGCGGCGGCATTAGAGACCCTGTTTGATGCCGAGAAGTTGCGCGACTTCCTGACTTCCCGGTCGCTGATTATCTCGGTAGCTTCCTGTGTCGGAACCGTGCGAATCGGTTTTTTTCTCGTGCGGAAAATCGAACTCCACGAATTAGGAACCAGCGGCGGTGATTTAGAGAAAGATGTTGTTTAGACATGGCGAGAATAATATCATCCGAACTGCCGGTGGGATATTTGAGTTCAAATTCAAGCCGAACGATGACGCGTCTGGTCTGAGTCCACAATTTCGTTGAATTCATCTACCGGAGATATTTAAACTTGTCGTTCGGCTCCCACACTTGCTTCGGCACCACAGCGAGGTTGCGCTTCCGACTAGTCGCTGGCGGTATGGGAACAAGCAAGGAATAAGCGTACACGAGAAACCTCTTGTTATGACCTTGCTGTGTGATTCTGTACATCCAATGGGCTGCTGTAGTTGACCGCGCTGCAAAAGATTGATAGAATCTTTTCGTATGCGCTGATTCTGGTCGGTTACAACTTGCGCTATTAGCTAGGTAAAACCAATAGCATTGATCGTGTTGGCGAACATTGGTTGGATGGAACCCAGCAGCTCACGCAGGACAGTCCGCCAGCAGTCGATGGGATCATATGACGGTAAAGTGTTGCATTTCGATAGCCGATCCGTTAGTTGTAGAGTACAGTTGTCATAACTTACCGGAGATACAAAAACCAGCCTCATGTATACTTTTGAAGAATACTTGGCACGGAGTTCTGTCCGTCTTGGCTCCAACATTGACTCGTGTCCCGCTGCCCGCGGAACATAGGAAAGGCGAATGGGAGGGATCGTTCAATTCAATCCACAACTCACGCCGTTACCTAGTACGAGCCCCGGGTAAGCAGCAGCTCACGATTCACAATTATCCTCTCCTAGATTGATGCAGAATGCGGAGCTCCGTTGAGACGGCGCACTTAGATTGACTCATGTGCCGCTACCCCCGGAGCATAGGAGAGGGGAATAGGAGGAGTTGTTCAACCCAATCCACAACTCACGTCGTTATCTAGTACGAGCCCCGGGTAAGCAGCAGCTCACGACTCACAATTATACTCTCCTAGACTGACGCAGAATGCGGAGCTCCGCTGAGACAACGCAGATAGATTGGTACAACTATGAAGATTCTCATCGAGACGTGTAAGCCGCCTACATGAAAATTATTTAAGGCCTAGATGTCGCCGCTGTTGATGTGAATGAACTCTCCTCTTCAACCCAACCATCTTACCATTACAAGCAAACTATCAAGGTAAACGACAAGTCCTTGACTGATCGGGCACTCTAGATGGCTAACATCAATTCCTCAGACTCCTCGAAACTACTTTACATACTCTCCGCTTAAGAAGCACTCTCAAGTAATACTCCTGCTCATGTAAACATCGCCGCTCTAAATGTTGATTGTGCTGACATTCTCTCAAGGCCGAAAATGAAGTTCTTCGCCTTTCTTGCCGCCATTGCGCTCTCGGCTGGTGTCGCCATGGCATCCCCGAATCCAATCGATACATCGGTCAAAGTCCCCGGGCTTCTCGACGCCCGCCAAGATGGCACCTGCTGCGACTGCCCCGATGGCCACAGGGCCTGCGGTGGAGCCTGCTACAAGGAGCCTAAGTGCTCGTAGAAAAAATGCTGGATGCGCAGCACGCCAGTCAACTGGTCATGCTGGCCCTCGACGTTGCTAGACTTCGGATGTCATCTACAGGATAGTCCCGGAGGTGCACACTGGATCAAGGTACGGGTGAGAAAACAGCGTTGACCATTTTCGAGATTGTGTAGCTTCGTTGTGCACAAATACTCGAAAGGCAATAAAAATACTTCCAACGCGACTTGAGAACGACGTGAATTTGAATGAATTATATGGGAATTACAAAAATGTGATGACTAGGTTTGTAGGAAAACCATTTGCGCATGGAGGATTGTAAATAGCAGTAAAAAGCAGGTGATGTCGGTGACGGCGGCACCGCGCAATGCACTGGTGTGCAAGCCAAGCTTCGTTGGGAATTGTTGAATGTGTGCAGAGCCTCTAAGTTGTTGCCGCGCGAAGTCGAACGAGGCCTCGTTATATCGTAGATTCCAGCTGTGTGGTTGAATATGATTTGCACAGTGACACCCCACGAATGTCCACTTGGGACGAACCATGTACCCTTGGTAGCAATCCCCGCCCCTGGTGCCAGGTCAGCGCTTAAAGCTAGACGGACTTTAATCTGGACGGAAGAACGCCGTCTCGTTTACCTGGGGCTGTATTGCGATTGCCAATTGGCCGCCTATCACAGCACCTCCAAACATAAGATTTGGGATGCGTCGTACTTGACATTTTCGTCCTGACCTGGACTTCTAGATAATCTCGTCTATCCTGGTTGAGACCTCCACTTTTGTGCGGCAATCAGTAGCGGTATATGCTCCGAGAACTTCAATGTGAATAGAGGGCTCGCCACTTTGGGTTGCAGTCTTTCTATTCTTCATCGTTGCTGACTAAATATCATCCCAATTTTGTCCACGCAGTGGCTTCAATACTTTGCTGTCGATGATAATCGCTCGGGTGATGATCTGTCTGACTTAATGTTGACAGAACAGTCTTTTGTCCATCATTATTCATGCGCGTGATCCCCCATGCGGCGACTGGCGAAATTGTTTGCAAGTGGATCTGATGATTTAAGGTTGTTTTTGGGGTTCGAATTTGGTTTGTTATGATCCGCGCTGGCCTAGAGATATTTTCCCGAATAATTGGTATTTACGAAGGCTTCGTATGGGTTAGTGTGGGGTCCCCTCGCTTTCGCCGAGAAGTGTGTCGTTGACAGTGAGATTGGTTCCATTAAAAGGGCTGAAGGGATGACTCGAGTAGCGTATTGCCGTACGGACCCTGGATGGCCTCCGCATCCGCATCCGTATTGCTCGCAAAAGCCCGAAGAAACTGCTTGTTCCCAGATTTTTCTAGACACATCCAGAGATCCCGAAAAAATACATGCAAGTCACTGCGGGTGATGTCAATGATGGAAGCTCTTCCGAATAGCCTCGGGAGAACCGGACACAAAACAGGGCAGTCTCGGCAGGTCCATCGGGGTCGGAAGACTCGCACCTTCCCGCGTAAAGGCCGTCGTACTTGTCCGCGTATCTGGTGACGGCAGGGATCGCCAAGGCGCTAAACCATCAAAAGGCAGGGTCTCACAGCCATCACCCCTTCCGCTTCCGTCACCTCGTCAGGCACCTAATTAAAGTTTTCCCACTTCCACGACCGCCGCATCAAAAGAATCTCCTTTCCCGTCCTCGCCGACTTCACTTCATCAACCTACGCGACTCCTAGTACCTATCGATTGAACGTCATCTATCGCTGCATTGCAGTCACGAAGGACACGGCGTTGACGATTGCTGCCGACGCATTGCATTGATACACGCCACCCACAGCCTCCGTCCGACGTCGCCCGCAATGGCCGATCCACCCGCCGCCAACGACGGCATCGTCGGCCGCGTCCGGGGCGCCTCGCTTTCCATCATGAATGCCAACCCTCAGCTCGGAATGTGGCAGGCCGCTGGAACTGCCATCGCCCAGGCACCGAACCTCACGGAATTACGCGACGAAAACTCTGGCGGTGACAACATCGCTTTCAATTCCCAGGGCCACTCAGCCCGTTTTGCGAGACAGGAGCGCGACGGCGAGCTTGCCCTTGTGAGGTCATCAACAAGGACCGGGTCTATCGCCACCGAGGGACAGCCTGCATTCAAAAGTGTTTTCAAGGATGGTGACAAGCCAGATGAGAGACATGAGGGAGAGGCCGACGAGGCGAGGGTTCTCATGGGGGATGACCAAGCTAACGGCAGCCCCGACCCAAGGCAGCAATTTCAAAGACGCCAAAGTCTGTATGAGAAGCACATGGCCAAGGAGAAGGCCCCATGGCAAACGACTGTCATCAATGGATTGAAGGCTTTTTGGAAGTTTTTCCTCACACCATCGGGGTTCATCATCACAATCTACTGCCTGAACATCGTGGTTAGTTCTCATGTCATCTTCTCGTCAATGCAGCCGGCTAACTTGCTCATAGGCTTGGGGCGTACGTTTCACTCACACAACCCAATCTCGTCGCAACTCACTCACAACTCACAGGCTATGCTATTTTTCCTCCTTATCAACGCAGCGCCCGCCATGAACTATCCTTCCGCCGACGACAATAACTCACCCCGCAAGAAATGGCTGGAAATCGACAGTCAGATCCTCAATGCCCTCTTCTGCGTTACGGGTTTCGGCCTTGCACCATGGCGTTTTCGAGACCTGTATTGGTTTATCCGTGCAACAAATTTCAAAGATCGCGAAGCCATGCGAAGGCTAGCTGCGCAAAACAAAGGCTGGTTCCGACCACCAGCCTGGACTTTCGAGGACGAAAAGGGCCGCACGCCAACTTTTACGAATCAGACAGCACCACCGACGGCACTTTGGAAGCTTGGGTTCACGATCTGGATGATGGTGCTCAACACGCTACTGCAAGCTGTACTATGCTACTTCATGTGGGGTTACAACCGTATCGACCGTCCCGTGAGTGTTTCCCAGATAAACTGGCAAGCTCGACTGCAATGTGTCTGAAATGCCTCCCTGAAAGCTAAGTGAACTAACACTGTTGCAGTCATGGGCCACCGGCACCTTCATCGGACTTGGCTGCGGTGTCGCAATGATGGCTGGCGTCATGTCGTGGTGGGAAGGCCGTAAGGTGAAGAAGATCGAAGGCCCGCAGGTCGAGGTTGTTCAGGAAGTATGATGCGGCTATCACACCATCCACGGATGTTGTCGTCATAGG